AAGGACTTCTTATTGTCCTTAATCTGGGAAGCTAGTCCCAGTTCCGTCTCTGCCTTGGCCTTCCTGACTGCCCCCCTACATCCCTGAGCAACTACAGTATAGTCATCCCTGGTGATGGCCCCTCCTTTCCATTGGGTGTACGCCTCCCTTTTAGCTAAGAGACATTCCTGGATGCTTTTGGTGAGCCATGTTTTATATGTTTTATATTGCAAGGATTATTTTCGAATTTGGAGCCTCAGCAGTACTACCACTCCCAAGTATTGAAATAATCATGGGTTAGTCCTCAAAAAATCATGGCATTAGGGTTTGTTTTTTTTTTAAAAGTAACATTTTAAAAAATGCTGTTCGTGCAATTCATTTATTTTCTGGTTCTGATCCTTTAGGGCCTACTTGGGCCACATCTTCAAGCTTTATCTCTACAATCATTAAGAGTAGAGAAAAAATTGTTTTAAAAAATAACAGCTGAGATTCTCACATAATCCAGTGACTCCAGGAACTGAGGCTTGCAGAAACAGCAAGTAATAGTGTCAAGGCTCACAGTAGTGGGAACACTGAATCAGTATAAACCTTGTAATTCATTGTTACTCTGTCTTTTTCTCTTCTCTATAAATAGTTACTGGGGCTTCCAGATGTTGATGATGATGCATTTGAAGAATATAATGCAGATGTGGAAGAGGAGGAACCAGAAGCTGATCATCAGCAGATGGGTGTCAGTCAACAGTAATTTTCTGAGGAATTAAAAAAGCTTAATCCCTTGATACCAGGTGGGGGGGTCATGTGACCCCATATTAGCATTTTGAATTAGCACATCACACTGGGAAATCCCAGTTTAACAAAACAAGAAAAAAAAGAAAGGAAAAGATAATAAATATAAATAAATCTGTGATGAGCTTTGCTAAGAAGTGACCTGAATTTTGCTCCTGCTTCAGTGGGGTTTCTATGGAGTTGTCTTGGTAGCATTCTGCCATTATTAATTTAGAAGTAGTTTTGTCGCTGACTGTCTCTTTGATTTGTATTTGAGAATAACATTCACTGACATGAATGTAGAGTACTTTGAATGTAGGAACTGTTTGGTTAGTGTATTAAGTACTCACATGTGACCTTACTGAGGAAAATTAAAGCAGAGAGTAAATGCAATCTGCACTTTTATTTTTAGTTCAATTTTTTTTTACTATACTACCAGACAGAGTACCAAACTGTGAGAGATTTTTCCTGTAAAACACTAGTTTAATAGTGGTTGATATTGCGGAAATGCACATAAAGTTTAAACAAAAAAATAGGTAGAGGGGAAAATCCATGTAAATGCTTTTGTGGCATATTTTAATGTTCTCTTAAACACCTGAATTTACTGGTGTGGGGTTAATCACTGGGCATAATTAGGACTCTTGTCTCACCAGAACATATTAGGATACGCATTGGTACTTTGATGCCACCAGTTCCAAAGCCATTGCATATTTTGTTCCCACATGAAAACCAACTTTCAGTTTCACCATTTTTAATAAAATGACAACTTATTAAAAACTTACAGCTTCCTGAATTAAAGTGCAACTTAACTTTGAAGCCATAAGGGTATAAGCCAGCACCTGGCTATTTAAATTATGACAGAATCTTTCCGAGCATTGGATCTCATGCTGCAATGTTTTGCAAGCTATTTATACCTGCTCAAAGTGAATGCAAAATACTAGTAAACCAGAATGGTAGGGCCTGATTTTCATTCTCAGCAAGGGCACTTTATATCCCATCAGCTGCGGAAAGGGACCTCACAGAGAGCGTAAAATGTTACTTGTTAAGGCCCGTTTATAGTGTAAGGAGTAAGCCCTCAGCTGCTGCATATAGCCTATGAAACCAAGATGATTTAGCTGAGGATCTGTTCCACAGAGTGGGGTAAAGGGCTCTTATTATATGTGGAAATAAGGCCAATAGTATTTTACACCTGCTTTGCACAGATGGAAACAACTGTGTGTGAAAGTCAGACAGTAAAGACCCAAGGCCACTTTATTTACTTGCCTTTTATTCGGAAAATGTAACAAGAAAAGGGATTTTCTTGTACTGGAGCTATTTTCCACAATCAAACAAAATATTTCTACATTATTCCTCTTAGCCAATTAAAAAAGAAAAACCCCAATCCATGAAATGCAGGTCTCAAACTTTAAAGGCATTTGATACAGAATTCACATGGTAAAAATGAAAAGTGAATGAAGAGAAAGTATTTAAACGACTCCCAGAAATGGCTGACACCATTTTGAAAACATTGTTATTAACATTATCACTTTTGGAATGGGTTTTTAAAGGCAGTTGTTTTAAAGATTAGCTAAGGAATTTATTTTCTTGGCAATTTGCATTTCTGGTGATGGCTTAGGGGATGCCTAACACTTGATTTTTCTAATTGAAGCAAAACTTTCTGTAACCAAGAGGGAAAGTGATATTTGAATATGCACAGATATGTCTGCAACACTGTAAATGTTTAGGAAAATTGAAAAGTAGAAAAGAAAACTCAATGAAACTTTGTACATTCTCTTGGCATGCAGGCATAAACATGATAGTCGCAACACATTTTCTATGAACAAGTGACGTGAGAACTGTGGCAGTTCATTGTATAACACTGTACAGCAGTAATAGGCTTTTTGCTTACCAAAATAAAGCATAATACCAGTGGTTTCCATTACCTTCTTTAAGTACCCAAGTTTTTCTTTCCTCTCCATCTATAAGACATGTTATAATTGTAAGCAGAGACGTTCTTAAGAGGAGGTATCTGGAGGGGGAGATTCCATCTTTTGATTGCAGCCCATACAAATAGACCCCTTGGGCCTGATCCTCCGTTGTCTTGCACGCAGCTCAATCCATAATTGATACAGGTGCAAGGTAGAGATAAAATGCTGCTCTGACTGCAAATGGGTGGCCACAGGTATAAATGATTATGTAGACAGGGTCTGAACCTTATTTACACTGCGTCCTCTTTGCACTGTTGTGGCAGTATGAAGGGGCCTTAAAGAGGATGAAGGTGTCATTTGAATGGGCCTCAATGAATTGGGCCCTTAAAGTTCAAGGCAGTCGAGAATCAGGCCTTTTGACTACAGTGTGACTTTTAATAAATGTGTAAAGGATGGAGGATTCTTAATACATCCAAAGGACTTCTAATACACACTGCACTTTGGTACCAGGGTATATCAGGCCCTGTGCTCTAAGGAAATGAACACTCCTATTGCCAATTGACATTGCTGAGAGCTGGAAGTGTTGAGCCCATTGCTAATCTGGCCGCTGCCATGCTCCATTTAAAATTAACTGGAATTTTATATGTAGAAAATACGGTGTAATTTTACATGTGTATTAAATCAGAAAGAGCATTAATATAGAATGTATTTTATCAAGAAGTATGAGTTGCTTGGACTTGGGACCAAATACATTTCTGCATCTTCATGTTATTGCTCTGTATTTATAAACAATGCACGAAATGCTGAATGAGTTAGTGGACCTGCAATGGTTCTAGCTTCCTCCCATCATTTCCACCAAATGGGTTAGAATGATTAGCCACTTACTCAGTAGCAAGGGCCAGTAGCTTGAATGCCAGGCTGAGCCCCTAATGCAGTAAACATGTGTCTAAATGCTGGCAGGGTTGAGCCGTAGAGCTTTCTCTTATAAATTCTGTAATTGTGGGGTTGGGATTTTCATGTCAGCCTAGAGGAGTTATGCATTTGGATCCCTCTGAAAGGCAATGGAAGATGTGTGCCTTACTCCCAAAGACTCCTCTGAAAATCCTGATCTTAACTTTTCTCTGTTTCAGTTTTTCTCTCTATAAAATAGGGCTGATGATGCTATTTAAAGTGCTTTTAGATCTATGGATGAAAAGTGAGAAGTGTTATTTGCCTTTTTTACCTTCAAGCAAAATGTTGGTGAAAGGACAGGTTGTGGGGAGGAGTCTTTTTCAGCCACATTTCATGTTATAAATAAATATAAATGTACCAGAGAAGAGGCTTTTGCAGAGCTGGCTTGTCTGAATGTGAGTTACACTAATGCACTCATCAGAGTGCTGCTCGGGGGAATTCGGAAATTGGTGGAATGTCAGAAAAGAAGTGAAATGATTTTGTAGATGTTAAGAACTGTTCTTGGTGGAAGGATGGAGTGCAGGGGCAAAAGAGTTAAAAGGCACCTTTCAGAAAGCTGCCAGGATTTGAGGGAAGTTCCACATATCTGCCATTGTATCCACGCAGTTCATAAAGGAACTGCTACAAGGTCATAGGGTTTCAAGGTCAGGAGTGTATGTCTGTATAGGTTAACATAAACATGGTTGGTAAAGGTGTTGACGTGGCAGGAGAAAGAAGGGTTGAGGAAAATATTAGCTCAGAGGCCTTCTATTTTTTCCTTGGCATTCACGTTACTTGTATTGTGGTTGCACCTAGGAACCCTAGGCCAAGATCCCATTGTGTGAGGCACAGTACAAGCACAGAACAAAGAGAGCCCAAGAAGCTTGTTCTTGATATAGTCAACTCATTTTAGAGTCCAAGTAAGTTCTGCTAATAGTTCCCAAGCACATAAGAGAGGAGTATCACACACCAGAGCAGTGTTGTGATTGATGGCACCGATATCGCAGGACTGCATGTTCTGGCTGTATGTCTTGTCCTATGCTATTTCTCCCTGTTAGAGAGGCTCTGTGCCTATGAAATCTGTTGAAAACAATTGCACCAAGTTTCCCTTTATCAGTGTCCTGAACCCAAATTATTGTGATTTTACGTTGTGCTGCAGAGTAGGGAGGCTATATGAGTCAGACTTGGGAGAACCAGGTTTTGCAGTGGATCTACTTGCAAAATGCCCAGCCTAAGTTGTAGTTGCCTTTTAGGAAGGTATGTACATGGTACAGCTGTGTGAAAGGGTCTATTACAGTAAGAGTAACCTGCAGATTGTTGTATTTTTACAGAAGTTTCTTTGAAAAGCTGCCATTTGGAACATGCATTCTCAAGCTTTTTCAATAGAGAATATTTCTGTTAATGTTTTACTAGGGCCTAGGACTGAAATGCGCTGGTCAAGGTTTGAGCAAAAGTGACTGGTGATTTTGGGTTCCCAACCCGAGACACCTTGACAGGAGCCTGGTTTCCACGAAGTGCAGAATATATGCCCCCTCTGAAAAAGCAAGTCCACTTAGAGTGTTCCAGGTTGAGTCCTGAAAAAGTGAAGGTGTCCATAATCACTGGAAAATGGTGCCTAGCCCAGGTGCCAGCTCAGGACTGGCCAGGAAAGAAGGCACTTCAGCAACGTAGGACATGGAACAGGAAAGCACCTCTTTGCATATAATAGCTGTATACCCCTTTCTGAGGTTTGCTGAGAAAAAAGGAGTGCTTTAATTATTTATTTAATTGAGGGCAGTGCCGTGTTCTTCCAGCCCATTTCTGCAGTAATTGGGAAAAGACCCTTCTGATTACTAAGCAAGAGAGACTGAAGCCATTTAAATCCTAATCCTATGCTCTCTCTGGACTGAATTGGGAAGTGCCACAGTGAAGCCTGGCACACCCACTCCATGTGTGCTGTGCTCTGCAACAGATCTAATGTAGCTGCCTTAGAGTGTCTGCCTCTGGTATGCTTGTTGGCTGTATTGCATCTGTCCTTTTCCTAAGGGTGGATATTAAATCAAAGCAATTGAGGCATATAGCTTGTTTTCCCTAAAGTTGCATAGTACTAGAACTCTAGTGTCTAGTGCTCAATGACACCAGAACGTGACCTTTTGGATTTTTACCTGATATACTCTGATGAAATTGCATTTTTGGCACCTGATGTCTATGGCAAGTGTGCACTGTACACAGTAGGAGAGTATCTGATTGCTAGCTGTACCCACAGTGACCAGGTCATTGTGCCAAATAATCACTCAAATGGACTAGATTTGCTTTTTCCCCCATTGACAATTTTATCATTCTTTAAAGCAGGGGTGGGCAAAATGAGGCCTGTGGGCTAGATGTGGCTTGCCATGCCATTCTATCTGGCCCATGGGGCCCCTAAAAAATTTAGAAAAGTAATATTTATCTGCCCCGGCTGCCTGTCACACAGCCCTCGATGGCTTGCCAAAACTCAGTAAGTGGCCCTCCACCCAAAATAATTGCCCATCCCTGCTTTAAAGGATGCATTGCCTAAAGGCACATCTGCATTATCACAGACCTTAGTTTATGTAAAGCCATGGAGTACTGCATTGTCCATACAAGCTCAGTCATAAGCAAAAAAAGTATCAGTGTCCATTTGTCTGCAGAAAAATGTCTCCAAGTTAGCTAATACTGGCTATAGGAAAGCTTACCTCATTTTCATATAAAATATTTAGAGCTTTTGAAGTTCTCTTTCTGTACCGACATGCTGTTGTCTCCATAGACAAAGATGTGTGGTAAACATTACATTTAAAGGATGTTACTTTTGTCTTCAGGAGGTGGAGAAATGCTAAATCTGGACTTCAGTCTAAACACATTTTTTGTTGTCAAATTTTACTTTCTAATCTAGGGAACAATCCAGCGAGTAATTTGTCAAGTAGAAAGAACTGTAAGTCATCATTTTTGCCATGCAAAACCCCTGTTTTTAGTGTGGTTTTCATAATTTTCTTGCTGAAAGGTCTGTCTCTTTCTCTGTGACTACAAAGCTGTGAAATGGGTTGCCAAAAGATGTTGCCCTTTGTAAAATGCTTTAAAAGGTGTGAACTTTCAATGGAACCCTGTCCATTCTTCCATTCCTACTTACTGTCCCCCAGCACAGAGAAATCAAATCCAACAGTGTAGTTAAACCATAAGCTTGCCATTAAAGAGCTTGCCAAACTTTGATGACTTATGGATTCTTTTTTGTGTGAGTGAAACAGGGATAAAAAGCAGAGCTCAATGAATGTGCTGCAAGAGGGATAAAAAGATTGACACGAGCTTTGTATCTGCTGTGCAGAATCAGTGTGGGTGAAACAAATGCAGTGTTTGCATTTGTTTGCAAATGTAAGGTACTGACCATCATGTAGTTCCAAGGGTGTTTATAGACGTGCTGTGGGAGTGAGGGGGGACACTTTAATTAGAGTGACTCTGAGAGCCATCAAGCACCTGAGCATCACATGTATCAGCATCCCCAAGCTGAAAAATGGTGGCGAGGGCACTTTAACTACAGTTTGTTGAACACCGTTTTTCAGTGCAGGGACACTGATACGTGTGATGCTGGAGTCTGCTCAGATGCATTGTAATTACAGTGCATCGGAGCAGCCTCACTGCATGTCTATAGGCAGCTCAAGTTTCTAAGCACTAGGAATCAAGCTGTGTCTTGGAGGGCAGAATTCAGAACCACCAGCTGCTTCAGCTAAATGAGCCTACTGAAACTCTTTACCATTGAGTGCATGAGGCCATGGATTCATTGATGCAAGGCAGGAACCAATGGTGGACTTTGTTGCTAAACACTCTGTGCATGAGCCAGTAGTTCAATTCCTCCTCTCGTACAAATTAGAGAGACATCTGTTTCATTTCAGAAACAACGTGAACATTTTTAATGGACATGTAAGTACTCTTCCATGGATATGCCTGCCTCTTTACATGATGCATTTTTAATAACTTTGAAATCTTCTTCCCCAGAGTTCATGTAAAGATGAAATTTCAATTTTCAGTCTGTGGAAAACTGGGATTTAAAATGTAAGACTGTACGTATTCTTCTGTCCATTTCCATGGTCTG